AACGTTACATATGTTTAATAGCTAATATCAATATCTATGAAGTATTTTATATGTAAAATCTTTAGTTATTTCCTTAAAAATTTATAAATTTTAGTGGTATTCTGACCGGAAGTCGTTTTTAAATTTTAAAATTAATTAAATACAGAATTACTTTTTTTTAAAATATACTTAAATAACAACAATTATTTGCCAAAATGTTTTGCAAATTAATTTTTTGATTTAAATATCAAATACGATATCAAAAATGTGTTTAATTTCTTGAGAACGAATGATTAGATTTTCAATGGATTATAAAAGTCTATAGATATTAGATAGATCGATGTATTTACTTACATAGTTATCAACTACTTGACATTTGACGACTATATTAAAGTGGACACTATATTAATAATATTTGGATAGCAATCAATATATTAATAATATCTATATATTTCTTTGCAATTTTCAATATATAATACGAAAATTTTTCATTAATATCTAGAAACTAATAAATATTCGAAACTAAAATTTTAGATTTAAGTTCATTCCTTCTTTATTATCCTTCCAAATTTTATATAGATCGATAATCAATATCTTTTACAACTATAGTTAAAAACATTGGCTAATCATATGGCGCGTAGAACTATTTCACCATGATGGTAAAGCATAGATATATATCGCCAGGATATTATTATATTGAGCAAATTGAAAAATTAATATAGTCAGCGCATTTATTATCATACTATAGCATTTTCCGAACTACGTTTCCGCGCTTTCTACGAAAAATAAATAAATATTTTATGAAAGATTATAAAAATGAATCTAGAATAATTTTGCGATAACTTAACATATAAACAGATAAACATATTTCATAAATAAAATCAGACTTATTTTGCGTGAGAATTGTACTATTAAGCATTTAGACTTATTTATTTATTTTATTTATCTATTTTAGAAAAATAATATATTCTATTAAAATTTCAAAATTTATAAAGTATTTCATAGACATTTCAATAAACAAATGGAAATAGAAGTCACAATGTGAAATGAAAATAGCAATAGAAAAGAAGAAATTTCTGCAATAATCAATAACATTTAACTATTGTTCAAATCCAGCAATTTGCCAGTAATACATATTTAACATTACAATCGCAGCGTGATATTTACGTTCTACGATTAGCTAATATATCGTTAATCCGTAATAATAAAACAAAACAAAAATTTTTACAAAAAAAAAATGTTGCTTGAAATTATCACTTTAGAAATCATCAGTTAAATCTTATCGGTTGATTTCTGACTTCTGTATATAGATATATTAAAATATTCATAGGATTCTTTTAATGAATTAATTTTGAAGGCCAAAACAAATATAAAAATTGATATTAATGATAAAAATGTTAGCTGAAGCTAATTTATTAAATTATAAGTATAACAAAACACTATTTGCGTTAGATGAAATAGATGAGATAGAGTGACACAGTTTACTGTCCGTCTCTCTCCATCTTACTTTTTATTGCATATATCATATATTTATAATTTAATAAGATCAAGATTTTTGTATATTAATTTTTATATTTCTTTTAATCTTTGAAAATGAATTAAGATAAGACATTAAAAAATAAATTTAATAGCAAAAAAAAACATAAGAATATATAAATATTATAAATTTAATATATTATATTTAAATTTTGTATTTCTTTGTGTTTATAACATAGTTCATAATATGTTAATTAATATTTTTTAATATTTTGATATAATGAAAAAAAATTGTTTGTTATAGCATTCATTGTAACAATTTTATAAGACATTACATTGCATATATGTAAAAATATGTTTTAAATAGATATTATTAGGATATAGTATAACTACGGTATAATTAATACGGTATAATAGTCAAAACTATATAAACAAACTATTGTAGATATTGGCATAATATAAGAATAAACTGAAAAATTTTGCCTTCATAAGTAAAAAATGAATAGAAATGTCTTTATAAAACAAGATAATAAAAAGAAACCATTATTCTTTATTTTTAAAATTACATTTATTTTTTCACATAATCATTATTTATTATATATATTATTTATTATATAATATATTTTTTCTAATGCCTAATTTTTGTAATTTTAAAAATTATTCATTATTTTTAAAATTATTTTTTCATTTCTCAAATCTTTTCATCACAATTAAACTGTTTGTTTTTCTAGTATTTAATTTCAAAAATAGTTAAAATTATTAGGTAAATGTAAATTATATGATAGATGCAATTTAAAAAAAAAAATAGACTTTTTCATAAATGGATTACAAAAACCAGTATTAATGAAAATGTATTGTTATATATTGTATATATATTGTTATAAGTGATGATTATATAAAAAAATTATATAATTATATAATTTTAAAAATAAAAAAAAAGTTTCTTTTTACTGCTATTTTATAAAGATATATTTTCCTATTCATTTTTTATTTAAATGAAGGAAAATTTTTCAATTTATTATAATGTATTTTTTTATAAATTAATAAATGTACAAAAATTAATCATTTATAATAAAACAATTTTAAGGACAAATCTTAGAAAATAAAAAAGATGCTATTTCTATATTTTTTTCTATTTTCTATTATTTAAACAAAATGACTTATTAATTTTTTGTTATTTAAATAACTATCATTGAATCTAATAATATTTATTTGAAATATTTTTTTTTATTTTTTTATGATTTAAGAGTTAATAATGTAAAATATTTTATATTATCTAAAAACATATTAAAGAAGAAATTCGTATTATATATTTTCAATAATATAAATTCTCTTCATCATGTCTTTTTATATAAAATATTTATTATTGTAATTTTTTAATTATAAAAAAAAATATTTCAAATAAATATTATTAATTTGATAACAGCTATTTAAATGATAAAAAATAATAATATATAATATATAAAATAATAATATATTTTATTTAAAAAAAAGGAAAAGTACTATTTCTAAACGTTTTTTTCTTTCTAAATTTTTTCTAAATTTCTTAAAATTTTTTCAATTTAATTTTTTATTCCTTTATTTATTAATTAAACTTTTAATTTTAAAAAAAAAATTATGACAATATCTGCAATAGTTTTAAAGAAAATAACTTATAATAATTTTTATCAACTTGTAACATCTTATCAGTTTGTATATATACATTCTTTCTTTTCAAATTTTTATAATATATAACATACATATATACAATTAAAGAAAATCTAAAATAATAACAGTACATAGTATAATTATATTTACTGATTACTTCTTGATTTCTTTTTTTAATTATATACATGCAAGCATGATGTAAAACAATTGTCCATGAAAAATATCAATTTTCCCACACCATGCACATCGCTTAAAATAATATAAAAAATTAAAAAGAAAAAACATGCTTAATTATAAAATAAATTTTTATAAATACAAAAATAAATATATATCAATAAGAGATTAGAAATTTAATATTATACAAAAAATATTTAAAAATACTAATAAAAAGAAAATACAAACATAAAATTAATTTTTGATATAATTATATAAAAATATATATGTATATAAGATAGTAAAGAATAAGTCAAAATCTCGTGATCTTACAGTCAAAATCTTATATAAAAACAGCTCACAAAAAAATAAAAGAATTGAAAATTGTACTAACCTGTCATATTACTGATCGGCGTTTTATTGTTATTAATTGGCACAGATTGATTATTTTCACTGTCACTACAGTCCATTGTATTACTAAATGATAATTTTCTTGGTTGAAGTGGGGGTGAACATCCAAGATCTTCTGCTGAAGAATCTAAAATATCGTCAACATCACAACCGGAGCTATTCGTACGACAGCTAATGTTTAGCTCCTCGTCCTGAATATCGCATGCGTCGAAATGCAACTTTTGTGCAACTTCCATGTTTTCAAATTGTCACCATACGTTTCCTTGTATATAATCACCTCGTATACACTAATAATACTGAAATAAAGTAAATACTAATTGTAATATCTTATTAATTACATTTGAAGACATTCATTCAAATAATCGCTCGTACCACGCTATGTTCGTTATGGCGGGTGGCCCAATGTTACTTGGGAAATTACAGCTAACCAATTGGAAGCTTCTTTGAGGACGAGAAGCTATTGAATTTGATATAACGCGTTTTGCTATTGGTTATGATTATTCACAATGTTAATACATAGTAGCGTCATCTGCACACATTTTCGAGGGTGGAACCATTCTCAGTCTAATTCTAAAAACTTTATGTCACATTTTATTTTGGAAATTTCATCTAAAATCAAAAAATATTTAAAAAATATAATTTCTTGAATAGTAGATGAACACAACTTCTGTTTTTGCATTGATAATTTCATTTAATATTAAACAATCTTCTGTAAAAATAAATCATATATTAACAAATTATATTATTAATATATAATCATAACGTATAAATTTCAATTCAAAAATTTATAAAGCATAAAATCAATTTGAATATAAATTTCATAACTAAGAATTTAAACAAAATATCATAAATAGATCAAATAAATTATTTGCTATTAATTTAAAAAAAAACTAATATATTGTTAATGATGATCATATTATTTATTAACTGCAAAAAAGATACTTTATTTATAATATTCTGTTTCTTTTTTAAATTATAAATTTCAGGAAATCTAGACACAACATATATAATCTGATTTCTTGAAAAAGAAAGTGAAATTGTTCAATTTAAAAGCAAAATTCAATGAGAATTAACATGCAGTAAACATATTGTGATGCTAAATAAAAAAAAAAGTTTTTTTTATATCTGTTAAGTGAAAACATTTGTAACTCACGTAAGGAAAGAAAAATCTTTTGCGTCTTTTACCTTATTCAGACAAAGAGCAGTGAAAGAATTTTTATCGAGCAGCTGCAACCTGTAGCATTTGTATATACGATATTGGTTTGTATTGGTATAGTCGGATTAGTGGTAGGGGTAACATAGTAGTTCGATGTGCGATATGATGGGAATTTTAGTGCCTACGACGGATTTTTTCTAAAACGATGCTACGACGCCTTGCGGTGGAGATACGAGATTCATAGAATAAAACAGAAGGGATAGTTATTTCTTTATCACATATTTAAAGTTAAGAAGTTCAAGTATTAAAGGATAATGGCAAACGTAGAAATTGACATCGTAGGTGATATGCAAATACCACAACAAAAGCAAAAATCTAGCACTGGGTAATCTTCAAATACATGATACATGGACATGATGATGAAAAATAAAATGTCAAATATTTATTATCTAACCTATAAGAAAATTTTACAATGTTAATGACATTGACATACCTTATTAATATATTTGTTAGTTAATTAAAGTAACCATATGCTTAAATTATACTTATTTTTTAAATTTATTATATTAAATTTTTCTTTATTATTAATATTTAAAAAATATTTTTTAATGTTTAATTATTTTTAATATAGTATTAATAATATTTATAATGTGTATATTTTGTTTTATAGGTTTGAATTCTTACAGATACCACAACTTCCACTCAGTAACATAGGATATCCTCAAGCTCATGAATGGATTGAACACAGAAAAGCAAATATTAGATCATGGTCTTTGTTTCTTAATACAAGCAATATAAGACCTGCTCCCAGTTTACCAAGATTGAGTAAAAGAATTGTTAGAAATATTGAGTATTTCCAAAGCAATTATTTATTTGTATTTGTTGGATTAGTTATATATTGTTTGTAAGATTTATTGCGTTCAAAATTTATTCTTTTTAAAATAAGTATACTTTAAAGTATAATAATCTCAAAATTACATTTTAACATTAGGATTACATCACCATTGTTACTGTTTGCTGTTGTTGTATCTCTTGGCACTTGTTACAAAGTTTCACAGCGACATGCTAAACAGGAACTTATGATATTCAATCATAAATTAACATTAGCTCAAGTTTATAGTTTGGTGGGAATTTGTTCATTGCCAATCTTTTATTTGGTTGGTGCTGGTGCAGCTTTATTTTGGGTTCTTGGTAAATAAAATAATTTTATTTTCATTTTGATATGATACAATGTTATATATATTATGTATAAAAAAATTTTATTTTAGGTGTATCTTGGTTTTTAATAACTTTACATGCAGCATTTTATAATATAGACTCTGTATTATGTCCAGGAGAAGATGAACTCAATTCTTTAGTTATGCAAGAAGTATGATTTGTATTATAAAATATTTATGTACAATAAAAAACAAAAATACAAATTTTATGTAATATATAAATAATATAAATTATTACATATTTATGTATTATTAAAAGATATATATGAATTTTAATTTTAAATATCTTAATGAATTCTAATTTAAAATAATAGATAATATATCACATAAAAAGAATCTTTATGTAACTTATATTAACATTTTTATAAAAACTATATAAAAAAATAATTTTGTATTATTATCATTTAAAAAAATAAAAAATTATAATTTAAATTGTATAAAATTTTATAAATTAAAACAAAATTTTTAATTTTTTCTTTTATAATAATTTTAATAATATTTAAAGAATATTATTCAAAATAAATATATAATAAGAACATTAAATAAATGTGACCTTTACATAAATAAATATAAATTTAAATTTTTTAAATCAATTATTAAATTTATATTTTATTATAGGAAAAAATTTATTTATTTAATTTAGAATTTATATAAATTAAAAATAAGTAAAAATAAGTAAAAATTAAAAATAAGTAAATTACAAAATAAGTAAAAATTATATGACATCAATTTATTATGGATCACGTAATCATTTAGTACATTGTTGTATCGCTTATATGTTAATATGATTCGCGAGATGCATATACATTTATATATGAATGTATATTATATGTATTTATCTCACCATTACATGATATTTTTTCGTATTTTTTTATATAATAAAATTAACGTACTAAAATATCATGTTTATAAAAATATACATAAATTAATCACTTAGATTAATTATTCAAAAATATAAATAGTAAAACAAAGGTTAAAACTACTGTGTAATGGAATTATAATATCAACACAATTATGTGACAATTTCCTGCTTCATATCTGAACAGCATCCGGAATTAAAGGTTTCATGGAAATATTATAAAAAATTTTGTAAGGATAAATTTTAATTATTATTTCTTTAGTAAAAAATTTAATGCAATTAGCTTTACATTAACAATATACGATCTAACATTTTATATTGTATTAAAATTTATTTATATTTTTTAAATGGAAAAATGCATTTTTTTAGAATTGAGATAAATACTAAAAATAATTCATAATATTTATTTTTAGAATTTATTATCTATTTCTAAGTTTTTATATACATAATAATATACTGTATATTTTAATTTCCATATAAAAATATTTATATTTTTTTATTAAAGTATAACTTTATTTATAGTTATTTAAAATTTAAAAATTTATTTTATCACTTATTATTTTTTCTCTAAAAATATTATATAAATAATACAAATTTAATAAATCTTAATATAATTTTTACTTATTTTAATTGCTCATATTATTATTATTCATTATTTTATTTATGCCTTAATATTCATTTATTTTGTAAAATATAAGTTAAATTCAATATAAATTCAATTTATTATTAGTTAAAATGTTTTTATAATTATGTTATAATATTTTTTTATATATAAATTTTTTTTATTTGGCTTGCATGTAGTATATGTTATTTGATTCAAATAAATAGAATTTGAATATTGATCAATTCAATTAAATATGGAAGAAGAAGATGAAGAAGTTTCTACACCATGGATACAAAGAAATAATATATCTGAAGCAAGTCTTTATCGATCAATACAAAGTAATTTAAATGCAGGATCTGTACAAACATTATATCAAAGTGTTCCTAATATTTCATTAAATAATATTGGAAGCATGAATACCTTACATAGTATGCATAGTGCAATCTCTATGGAAGATATTCAACAAACACATAATGACGATACATTAACTTTTAATAATGATACCAATGAAACAATCATTGATGGTAGTTGTACAGATTTAAGAAACAGTAAAAGAAGTTCAAGATCGGTAAATTTATAAGTTTATAATTATATACATATTTTAAAGATAATACAATTAAAAATAAAAATAATAATTAATATGAAACATCTAATTTTTTTTTGATAAGGCTTCAAAATGTGGAACAATTTTTAGTTTATATTTTCGTGATGAAATTCGTACAATTGATTTTATACTTGTTTGGGATGAATATAATGTAGAAGCTCAAACATACCATTGTACTGAATATAGACGTGTAAGTTATATATATAATTTATATAAATACATAATATAATTAGAAATATAATTTTTGATTTAATTTTTCATTTTTAATTTTTAGATATTTGAAAAAAATTTAGAGAAAGAAGGTTTACAATTAGAATATGAACAAGCAGAACCAAATGGTTTACATTTCATAAAAATTCATGCACCTAAAAAAGTATTAAGACGATATGCTGAAATATTAAAACTTAGATTGCCAATGAAAGAATTACCTAATATGATAATTCTTGAAAATCATAGTAACACATTAATTAAAGAAGTCAATTCATTATTCAAGAGAATTATGAAAAAGTATTATGTAAACCAAACAATATTTCCAACTTTGAAACATAATTTTACAGCTGTTTATAGTCGTGATAAAGAATATTTATTCAATTTGGAATCACCAAATTTTTTTACTACTGCAACACGTGCTAGAATCGTACAATTTATTTTAGATAGAACTAGATTTACTGAAACTAAGGATGACGATTTTGCATTTGGAATAGATAGATTGATTTCGGAAAAGGCATACGTAGCCGCATATCCTCTTCATGATGTAAGTCACTCCTTATTTTTTCATTGTATTTTTTAAGTTCTGTATTCATCATGCTAATTATTTTAATCTTACGCTTAAGTTACATATATATACTCATATTTTCTTCAGAAATTTTAGCATTATAGGATTATTATATTGAATACTTAGAAAACTATCTATATATGATAATATCAACAAAGCTTATTATTTTATGCTTGCCCATTTTAAGTTATTATATCCCAAACAATCAATTATATATTGAAAAATTTTTAAAGGACAATAATAAAGGATAATAATTTAATGGTTAGTTGTTCATTTTCAATTATATTGATCTTATATTGAATACAATGTGATATATAAGATTTGTGTATTATACTTGTTGTGTGTTGCATAATTCATTTTTATATACTTATTTATATTAATAAAATATATCTTTTAATAATTGAATTTTAATACAAATATAAAAATAAAATGAAATTATATTTTTTTAATTAAATTATTTTAATATATGAACATAAAAGAAAATAAAAACAAATTTTATAATTAATTTTTATAATTATATTTTTTTTTTAATTATTATTTAATTATTTTTATATTTAGTAATAATTGTTTTTTTGTTATTTTATCATGGGTTTTGTTGGTATATCATGTTTAAGATTCCAGAAATTTTCTAAAGTGTTGCTTTTTTTAAATATTTTGTAAATATTTTATTTATAGAATACACAATATAATAAGAAAAATATATTTTAAAAAATATGATTTTATATTTATTTTTTCTAAAATAAAAATTATAATAAAATTTGTTAAAAATTATAATAATAATATTATAATAATATTTTTGAATCAAAATAATTATATATATAGTTACTTATTAAATAATATTATTTTTTATATTTATTTTAAGTTTTTAAATTTACAAATATAGTATTTAATAACTGAGTATATAGTATTTATTATTATTTTATTATTATATATTTTTATGTTTTATGTTTTATTTTTTGTTTTATGTATCCTTAATTTTTTACTAGAAAAATATAGCTAAATAAAATAATATTAATATTTTAATTAAAAGTTTAAACTATTATTATATAGAAAAAGAAAGATTGAACTTGATTATAAAATAGGTATCAATAGATTATTAACAAGAGAAGTTCTCCAGTCTAAAATATTTTTTATTTCTACAAATTCATTTTAATTCTT